ACCGCTCTTAGTCTGACCTAGGACCTGTTTGCCTTGGGAGACCCTACCAGGGACATATAGCCCCCGACAACATAGCTCCTAGGATCACTCGGGTAGTTTCTATATGTGTAAATTCAACCAAAATGGGAACTGACCTAATTCTCCTGCTACAAACCTAATGACAACATCCACTGAAACATCTGATCCTGTTGCAGCAACAGAAAGGTGATAGAGCATTGTTATCACATCTTCTTTATGGATACTGGTCAATAAACAAATCTCTTGAGACCACTGAGTACTGCTGATCGGTAAGAAGACTGGCAACTGTGTTGAGAAGGTTCAGTCATTTCCACTGTGTGAGGAGCAGCTAAATAATGCAGGCAGACTAATAGCTTAAAGCTAATGGATGATATTGGATAACGACAGTGACTAACAGCTAATGGCTTATGGTTTAGAGACGGCACTTAATCTACTGTTGCAAGAGAAGCACTGAATTTTTCACATTTTAAAGGCTGTGACAACAGTTTGACCGTGTTGATCATTGAGGACAAGTGTCCCCTCAACTCAAAAATGCATTAACTTTACTTCACTTGATTGTCAGAGCTCTGCTATGGACAGTGATGTATGTGCGGTTTGTACAGTTGTTTGACTGTAAAGGGGGTTTTCTATTATAGGAGCTTAGCAACATTTCTTTAAGCCTGTTCTGCTTGTTCGATAAACTGCACTCCATTACTGACTGACTGTTGCACTAGGGAACGATCCTCCACATTGTCTGTTCTCCCTCCACTCAGCTGACTGCCCTGTGTGAGAGGGGCACAGCCTCTCCCTCCTCTAAACAGAGACAATGCAGGACAGTCCACGTCAACTCATGAGCTTGTGCATAGTACGGGTATAATGTTTGTTAGGTTCCAACCGTGGCAACACAGCATAAGGCTGTTGAATTCCATCATTCTCAAAAAAGGCCTATGTTGCATAGTGTTAATCAGGTGGAAACCTCCAAGGCTGAGAAATGAAGGCAATGTGGAAGTGCCAAAACCTGCGGTGGTCAGAGAGTAGCCTAGGTCTATGGAAACTGAACTTTGTATTTCAGTGACCATGTGTAT